TCTCTGTGACTATCATAAATAAAAATTTAAAAAAAATTAAAAAAAAAGACTTCTAACTCTGGGGAATGAACTAGGGGTGGTGGAGGGGGAGGAGGGCGGGGGGTGGGTGTGAATGGGTGACGGGCACTGAGGGGGACACTTGACGGGATGAGCACTGGGTGTTATTCTGTATGTTGGTAAATCGAACACCAATAAAAATTAATTTATTAAAAAAAATAAAGCGATCAATTATTGAAAAAAAAAAAAGCCCCTTGTCAGGATCTCAGCTCAAGCAGGGAGCTTAGTTCTCCCTCTCTGTCTGCCCCTCCTCCCCCGTTTGTGCTCTCTGTCTCTCAAAGTAAATAAATAAATAAAAAATCTATAAAAAAAAATCCTCTTCCTCTTGAAAGCCATGCTGGGCACCCTGGGGATAAAGGACTCAGTTTACACACACGGTGTCCAGGGGGCGATGTTGGTGTTGGGGCCACCTACAGAGGGCTGAGTGCAAGCACAGGCAGCCACAAGGCTGTGAGTCTTCCATACAGAGTCAGTTGGTGACCTCTTCCCCTCTTCTGATGACTGACTGTGCCGGAAGAACTTGTTTTTCAGATAGCAGGAGGCACTTCCTGAGAGATATGGACCCTCACATCATTAGCCACATGAAAGCGGGGTGCAGATAAAGACTGGGGCCCGGCCAGCTAAGGGCTCGATGTTCACCCACCTATCAGTTCGCTATACAGGCTCATCACAACACAGGCAAGGATCCTTGCAATCAGACTCAAACTCCTAATAATATCACCACTCAGCTTGGAATGCTTGACGAAATGCTGTTTGGGGATATTTGAACAGAAGATAATAGGAAAGCCTGTTCATTTTGTTAGGTGTGGTGGTAGTATCATAGTGACAGAAGAAAAAATGTCCTTTGGTTTTAGAAATGCATCTTAAAATAATTTGTGGTGCAAGGTCATAATGTCTATAATTTATGTTAAAATAGTTCAGCCAAAAGTGGAAATGATGCAAATATTAATTGTTTAGGTCACTTGTTGTCAGACATAGGGATTAGGAGGGGATGAGCACTAGAAATTCCTATACTGCCATTTTGCTGACATCACTCCAAGGACTGGGTATTTCCAATGCTCTTTATCTTATTCTCTCTCTCTTTTTTATATGTTTGAGAAGTTTCACAATAAAAGTTAATTAAAAAAAATCTATAATGTGGAGAGATGAAACTGTGTTTCTTTTGCTTCTGAAATACGTCTAAGTTATATGAAAAGCTTGGCATGTATTATACATTGGGAAGTCCAACTGGGGAGGGCAGAGTGTAGGAGGCTGAGTAGCAAAAGCAAGGGAGAAAGGTACAGGGCTTTATCTAATCTTTGTTCCAACATCCATGGCCAGAGGGACCACAATGAGGGGGTCCCTCCAAGTGACAGGCTCGGCATAAGTTGTTTTGCCACCATGTGAGGAGGCCTCTTGCCTACCTCCCAGCCCTCCCCGAGATGATCCATCACCTACCTGGGCCTGGAGCTTTACCACCACACTGCCCGGCTACCTCATGAAGACACCCCTGTCCCCAGGAATCCTGACTGGGGATCAAGAGAAGAAATGGCCAATCACAGTTCTCACAGCACTTTGTCCTTCCTCAAATCTCACTGAAGTCCTGATTGGATGACCAAGCCCTTTCACAGAGTCCTGAGGCTCAGGGGGAAGACTGTGCCCCAGTCCCAGGATGGAGCTGGTCTCCAGCCTGGCCCTCTTGCCCCATTTCTTGCGCAGGGGGTCCTACCATCCCTTTTGTGATGAGGACACTGAGGCCCTTCCACAGAGATCAAACATGTTCTCAAGGTCACCTGGTCATTGCCATGGAGGAGGGTGAGAATCAGGTCTCATGTGCTCCAGAAACATCAGGGAAGGCTGAGACTCAGGGCATCAGGATAGGGAGGTCACTCTTCCAGCATGGTCCCCCAGGAGCCCTGGTTGGCCTGTGGTTGTCACTCTGCTCAAGGAGGAGGCCTGAGCCCACTGTAGCCATGTTTCTCAAAGCCCACAAGGTGGTCTGCTGGGGGCCAAAAGGGCCTGGCCAGCAGTGGACAGCCTCCAGAGAGCCTGAAAGCAGATGACCAGGGCAGGATGCCTATGGCAGACTAAGCCCTTCGGGGAGCAGGTGTCCAGCAACCTGCCTCAGAAAGGAGTTAGGAGGGCAGCCCGGGTGGCTCAGCAGTTTAGCACTGCCTTCAGCCCAGGGCCTGATCCTAGAGACCCAGGATCGATTCCCACGTCGGGCTCCCTGCATGGAGCCTGCTTCTCCCTCTGCCTGTGTCTCTGCCTCTCTCTCTCTCTGTATGTGTGTGTGTGTGTGTCTCAAATAAATAAATAAATAAATAAATAAATAAATAAATAAATAAATAAAATATTTTTTAAAAAGAAAGGAATTAGGAGAAGCCAAAATTTCCCCAACTCATGGGCCATCCCAGCTTCTGGGGGTAGGGGAAGCTGAGGGCGTCCTTCTGGGATCAGGCCCACTGGTTCTGCCAACAGAGGCTCTTTTATAATCTGCTGAAAGGTTGGCCCATTTGGCCAAACTCTTTAGAGCACTGTCCTGCTTCCCCCAGGGAGCCTCCCCTGACTGCTCCTCTCAGCAACCCTTGCCTCAGTGCTGGGAGGCCGCACCCTACTCCCCTCTGGGTTCTTCCTCCTTGGCCACAGGCTCTGTTTTCCCTAACCAGCCTAAGAATCTTCCCAGAGCAGGACCTGGTCTCCTCCTCCTCTGACACCCCTCCCTCTGTCCCCAGGGCTGGGCTTCGCCCTGAGCAGTTCTGCTACCAGTGAGGAGCCCCTGTGCCTGCTGTCCAGGGGGTAGGGGCAGTGGAAGGCCTGACAGGTGGCCTTGGGCAGACTTCCTCTTCTGAGACACTAGAAGTTTTCTTTCCTTTTTTTGCTTCCCTGTTCAGAGATTTCCCCTTCCATGACTGAGGTCAGGGCACCATAAACAGGAATGATAAGGCCAGGGGCCTTTACACTGAACTTTCAGCTGCCGTTTTATGACTCTGATAACATCAGCCCCCTTAACCCTGAGTCTGGCTGGACTGGGATTGCCTGGTGTTCAGTGTGGGAGCAAGTGGTGGCTGGTGGGGAGTAGGGAAAAGTGGAGGTGGATGTGGGACTCCTTCATTACAGGCTGCCCTGACCCAGTCCTGGGTGAGTCCCTTCTCTCCCGCTGCAGGTGCAGCCCTGCACCGGGCTTCGGGCTACAGCGAAGATGACAGACCTCAGCCCTTGATCCTGTGGGATGATCAGAAGAGCCCAGGCTGAAGGGTGGGTAGGGCAGAGAGTGGAGTCAGGGAGGGAAGGGCTGAGTGGGCTGTAGCAATCAGGGAAGGCTTTCTGGAAGTGATGCAGTAGGGTATTAAATGAATAAAATGTGGAAAGTACAGGGGAGGGTAGGCATTGGAGGAGCCAGGCTTAGACTGCCTTGGGAGGTGGGGGACAGATGTGGCTGAGCAGGAAGGGAGGCCCTGCTGAAATCACCCTGCCCCAGGGCTGAGAAACCTCCAAGGCTGGAGAATGGTGTACCCGCAGTGATCCCAAGATGATCCCGCAGTGATCCCAATGGTGTACCCGCAGTGATCTCCTTGGATCATCCAAGGAGAATTTGAATGGTCAGAGCCCAGTTGGGAAAACCAGAGGGCCGTGGGTAAGGCCTGGAAGCTCCATGACACTGAGGTGCCAGCGCTGTGGAGCTGTGGCTTCAGGGCCAGAACCAAGAGAGGCTTTGAGCGCTCAGGAGGTGGGTCTCAGGCCTCTCAATGGGAGCAGGGAGGCTCCCATCAATTCTTTTTAAGTTCTGCTCCCAGGACAGGCAATGAGCTTCTTGTCCCCAGGATTTACAAGACATGGTCTAGATGGAAACACAGAGATTCCTGCTTTGGTGGAGGTGATGGCAAGAGAGATAATCATGGGATAGAAGAGACTAGGTGATCAATATACTCTACTCACCCACCAGCCAACCTGGAGCTGGTGTCAGGCCTGGGACCCACTGGGTTTTAGGCTCTAAGTAGCAACCCCAGATTCCTCAAGTCCCGAGAGGGAGAGAGAGAAAATCCATTTCAGTTCAGGTCTGATTAGTGGGGGTCAGCTGTCTTTTAGACTTATTTTGCCCATCTGCAAAATGGGTGGACTCAGTGAATCTTGAGGTCTTCCCTGATCTCAGAAGGAAGATGATCCACGCATCTCCTGCCTGAACCAGCATCTGCCCTGGAGGTGAGCCACCCACAGCCATCCACGAGGGCACATCCACACAAGGGGCTCACCTGCACACATGCATCAAATGCTTATACACACCTACGTGGAGATGAAGCAGAAGCGGGAGGCAGAGGACACCACTGCTCCTTGGCTGTGTGCACCTTGCTCAGCCTTCTCCAAGCACATGTCTGGCCCTTCCTGATAAACACAATCCTCAACCTCTCCCTGCCCACCACCTTCCACCTTGGGCTCTGCTCAGTGGGAGGGCACAGGAAAGGCCTGCCAGGCAGCCCCCTGACCCCAGAAGCGCCTTCCCCGCGCTGAGTGCGCTGCTGAGACGTCACTCCGACACGTAACACACAACGCCCCGCAGACACCTCCAGACGGGCCCGGCACCCAGCGACGACCCCCACAGACTGCCGCCCACCGGCTACCAGGCCTCGCGTTCCAGTCGGCCACAGTCTCCGGCCCTGCGCCCCGACCTCGCCGCCCCACGCACCCCGCGGCCGCTACACTGGACGCGAGTTACGGAGCGCGTCTCCGCCGGCGCCCCCGCCGCTGTCCCAGATCGCCGCTGCGCGCGGGCTCCGGGCCGCGCTGGGAGGGACCGGGAGCGGCCGGGCCCCCACCCCGCGGGCGCAGATCCGGCCCGAGGCTGGGCCGGGAGGCGAGCCCCGGCGCTCCGCGCCCCTCGCACAGACGTGCGCGCGGACGGCCCGGCACCGCCGCCCCCATCCACCCGCGGCGCCCGGGGCTCGCGCGGCTCGGCGGGCACTCACCGCGGGGCCCAGGGCGCAGGCGAGGGCGCTGGCCAGCACGCACAGCCAGCCGGCGGGCGGCGGGCTGCTCGGGCGCATGGTCCGCCCCGACCCCGCGGCGGCGGCGGCGGCGGCGGCGGGAGCGGGAGCGGACGAGGCGGGCAAGCGGCGCGCGGCGCGGTGGACGGCGGAGAGCCCCGCGAGTGGCGCGGTCGCTGGGGCCCCGGCGCCCGGAGGAGCGGCTCGGAGCCGGAGGCGGGCCCCGGGGGCTCGTCTGACGGGCGGCGGGGCCAGCCAATGGGTCGGCAGGGGCGGGGCTGCCGCTCAGGTGTGGGGCGGGGCTGGGGGCTCTCCCGCCCGCGCGGAGTCCCTGCGCTCGCTCCGCCAGGGCCCCGCGCCCCGCCCCAGTGGCCAGGCACCTGCCAGCCTTCCCCCCCGGGCCTGCACCCTCGGGAGTCTCGAGGCCCCAGCCCGCCGCGTCCTTCCCTGCTCGGCTCACCCTCCAAGCGCCTGGATGCCGTCTCCCACTCCCACCCGCCCCCTCGGCCCCACCCCAGGACGCTCTCCACGTCCACCTCCAGAGCCACCTCCTCCAGGAAGCCTCCCTGCCAGCCTCTCCGTTTCGCATTTCCGCGCCTCGGAAGACCGGGGCAGGCGGGCGGGACTCCGAGACAGGACATGTCGCTTCTTCCCGCCCCCCCCCCCCCGCCCCGGCTGTGGGCTGCGGCGGCGGAAGGTCCCAGGGTGTAAGCGACCCCGAGGTGGGGCGCGTGGTTTGAGCCGTCTCCAGTCGCCCCAGCTCATCCCTTTCCCCCGAGAGGACTAGCGAGGCGACACAAGGGCGCGAGTGAGGCCCGGCCCTGGGTTCCTCGGTGCCACCCCCGAGCCCAGGCGACCTGGCAGGAGAGTGCGGTGTCGTGCTTCGGGGAGGACGGCACGGCCGCGCCCTCGCGCGTCTCAGCGCGGGCACCTCCGAGGGAGGCTGGGCCGAAGTTCCAGCGCCCCCAAGCGGGGAGGGGAGACCGTCCTACCTAACGCGGAGCAGGAGACTTCCTCCTCCTCCCGCCTTCCCTGCTTTACAGCCCGGGAAACCGCGGTCCAGAGAAAGGCCCGGACTCGGGCCTCCTGCCTCGGTGCCTCGCTCCCTCGCTCCCTCCCAAGCCTGGGCGGGGCGGCCGCTGGGCGACAACGGACCAGCCTGCGTCCACGGCGCGTCCTTAGGGAGCGATTTTATTCGCCCGGAAAACGAGGCAACGTTTCAGCGGGCGCCGCGCCCCGGAGGGCTTCTTGTAGGCCCGGAGCTAGTGGCCGCCTTGCCTCTTTCCGAGGGCTCCGAGGGTGTGCTGGAGGCTGCAGGTGGCGGCGGCGGCAGGGCCAGGGTGGATAGTGGATGAATGCGATAAGGGAATGACGGAGCCGCAGGGGCTGGCGTGTGTCTGGGCGCCCAGCCGGCAGCCGGGCTGCTCCACGGAGGTCTGACCCCAGGCGCTGGCGGACTAGCACGTGCATCAGGGTTTCTTGCAGACCCACCTGGGCTTCCCTCCCTACCGCGCGGGAAACCGGGGCCACTGACTTTCTGCGGTGGAACGAGTTATGGGGAGTCAGGGAAAAGCCTGAAGGGGATGAGCTCCCAGCCCCTCCTCAGTTTAGGCTTATTTGCGGTGCTGGCATTTGCTTCTTCCTTCTCTCCTTCTCTCCCTCCCTCCCTTGCACATTTATTAATAGTTTGCTGTGTGCCAGGCTCTGTGCTGTGCACTGGGGCAGGGAAGTGGATAAGAAGGCGGGACCTCTTGAGGGTGGAGGACCTGGAGAGCTATCGTACTCCCCATAATTTCCATCTCCTTCCAGATGAGTCTGGACATAAACCCTTCCCCAGATAGGGCAACTGTGGAGATGCCTCTGCTCCTAACCTGGCCATTCTAGGGTTTGGACTCAACCCCTTAGCAGAGGATGGGTTTGAAGAATCTTTAGGCTTCTTAGCCATCTCTACTTCTGGGGGCCAGGTTAGGCTCAGGAGCAAGGGGCCTTGCCTGCCTCGTGACCTGACAGAAAGAACTCCTTCTCAGGCCTCTGTTCTCCAGCAGGACAGTGGAATCGGGTCCCAGTTATGGGGAGTCGCTTCTGCTGGCACAGTGTCCTAGGAGTCCTAGATGTGAATGGCAAATCCATGGGCTTTGGATGGATTTGCTCACTCTACACACACACACACACACACACACACACACACACACACACACACACGTACACACACCACCTAGCCAGCTGCAGGACACTGAAATCCCATCATTAAAGCTTGGTCTACTAAAGCTTCTTGGTCTACTGAAGTTCTGATCTCTCTGAGGACAGGAATCTTGGGTACTTGAGAGTACCAAGTAGAGAGGGGAGTGGTGAAGATTGGGAATTAGAAGGGAGCCAGACCCCACTTTGCCACCTGACACTCTGGCTGGTGGGAGAGGAGACACGGAATCTTAAGGCTCCCAGCCCAGAATGGGCTGCCTTTTTCCTTGCTCTGGAAGGTGGTCCACAAGAAACCTCCTCTTTTGCTGCACGGGCAAGCTAGAGCCAGTGTGGGTGACGGCAGGGCCTCTCCACGCTGTGGCAGTCCCTGGGCTCCTAGGAATGAAGCAGGTGACTAAGGAAGAACACTTTTCCTGCAGATTCTTTGCAATGAAAATTACTCCTTTGTTCTTTCAGAATTGTTCCCCTGGGGGACCCACCCTTCCTTACAGATCAAAAGGCACGAAACAAATTCAGAAGTGAAAGGAGGAGCAGAAAAGGAAAATAGCAAACACAAACAAAAACTTGAATCCAGCGGAGGTTAGTTTTGACCATGTCTTTATTAACGTTTCGCATTTGTTCTGTGTTCTGAAACACAGGGTGGCAGGGTGGGGTTGGGGGAGTGAGGAGGTGGAGGACATCACCTGAGAGTCCTTGAGGGATCTTATGACAAAGCCATCCTTTCACCTGTCAGCAGATCTGGGAGGGCTTTGGTGGGGGCGGGGGTGGGGGGTGGGGGTGGGTGGCGGCGATGCATATCAGAAGCCTAAAGTTGTGGGGTGGTGGCGGGGGAAGGGGGCAGTCTACCTGAGGCTGTGAAAAGCAGGGACTTGGTTGGGTCTCTGCTCCCCATTGGGAGTTGGCCTTTGCCTCACCAGTCCAGGCTTGGGGAGGGGGCCACAGCCCCCCTCTGCTCCCTGCTCCCCCATGTCCTTTGATATTGATTCCTGTTCTGAGATGTTCCTTCCTGGATGCCTGGAATCTGTCCCCTGTCTGTGGCCCAAACCCCAGAGCCTTCCCGGTGGCTGCTGCCGGAAATCACAGGGGTGCAGAAGATGGGGGGAAAGAGAGAGAGAAGCAGTCACTTGCCATTCCCCCGTGACGACAGGCAAGGCAGAAAGAATCTGCAGTTACTCATTTGGAGCCTGCCTGGCTTCCTGGCTGCCTGCCTCATGCCTGCACTGGGTGCCACCCTTGCCTCCCCCAGTTCTTCCCCACGTCCCATGTACTCACTGCTTCAAGGCTCCCAGCTCTGGGACTCACTGGTGGTGAGGTTCCACAGTAGAGTGGAAGGGCCCCTGGGGACCACTGTGTAGTTTTGGCCAGCACGGGAGGTGGGGGTAGGGCAGGCAGGGATCTGGCCTGGGGAGTTGGCTCCAGGATTCCCCTTCCAGAGCCATCCACATTGCTGTGTGAATACAGCCTCTCTAGGCTTCTGAGTTGCCCTTCTTTGGGGCTAGCTCTTCCTGGGAGAAGATGGATTTTCCCTCCAGGCTGTGTTTGATGGAGGGCAAGTGGGACCCAGGCAATATCCAGACAGGTATTTAAAGAAGCAACATTTCCTCCATCCTTTCCATGACAGCAGGCAGCAAATAGCATTCCTTTATCCTCTATGTGTCACCTACTTAAACTGGTGCTGGCCAGTGATGGGTTCTACAGGTGTCTCAGTGGCTTGGCCATGGGCTGCCCCTCCAGGGGAGCTTAGCATTGCTTGGGTGGGATGCTGGGGGGAGCTTCTGGTGGTGCTAGAGCGGCACCTAGCAAAGTTCGTGGGAGAACAGGTGATGGAGGGAGAATTTCCCTGACTTGACAGGTGGGGGAATGAAGCTCAGGAACCATTTCTGAAAAGGCCTGTACCATCCCTTGTGATGTAGGAAAGACATTAGTGTTTGGAGCTGATGGCCAAGAAAGAATTCTTGAGAGGTCTTTGGTGCAAAAAGGTGATTTTATTAAAGCAGGGGACAAGACCCATGGGCAGAAAGAGCTGTCCCAGCATTGTGAGGAGTGGTTCATTATATACTTTCAAGTTGGGAGGGGGTCAGGGATAGTGTAATTCTCTGAGGATTTTAGAAGCAAGGTTATCAGGACTCTGAGGGGCTGGCTATTGTTGGGAAAAGGTCATTTATTACTGTTTAATAAAACCTTAGTCATGAGACCCTACAGATGTGTAGGGGTGGGCCAAATGCTTGGCGGATGATTGCCAACATGTATCTTGAGGGTTAGAGATAAAGGAAATTTTTTTTAAAGATTTTATGTATTTATTCATGACAGACCCACAGAGAGAGGCAGAGACACAGGCAGATGGAGAAGCAGGCTCCCTGCGGGGAGCCTGATGGGGGACTCCATCCCAGGACCCCAGGATCATGACCTGAGCCAAAAGCAGACACTCAACCACTGAGCCACCCAGGTGTCCTGAGATAAAAGAAATTCCTAAAGTAATTTCTCTATGTTAAAGTAGACTTACTGGATCCTGGAGACGGGCTAGGATTGCCTGTTGCCTATTGCGATGTTGCAAAGTATTAACATTGAGGCATGTGAGTCCCTCGAGGAAGGTCACTCTTTCCTGTTGCAAGAACTTGTCAATGGGCTGTAGGGAGTAAGGACATTTAATAACTTTTCTTGGGCCTTTGTTTTGCACATCACCTTGGTCCTGGACGTCAGGATTTAGAGGGAAGGGAGGTGACGGTGCCAACTTCAGGTGTGTCAGTTCAGATCTTCCCGCGAGCAGACCTGAAGATGGAACTAAGTTTGTGGAAGTTTGTGGCATGGCAGGGGAGCCCCAAGAAAGATATCAGAGGAGAGAGCAGGATCAAGGAGAGACTCTGGCAACCTGCCAGTGAGCTTTAGGGCA